GGCGGGGGGCGGCGGCGGCGGCAATGCCCAGGGTGTAGCAAAGCCAAACCGAAGTATTTCCAGAAACCAGTTTCTATTAAGTCTTTAAAATGAGATCATAAAGCTCTCAGAGAGTAGCAAGTGACTTCACCAACACACCCTTTTTCTTTGAAGAGGATATCTCTTTCTTCCAGAACTCGTTTCAGCTCGTCGAGAACTTCATCTGAGCTTCTGGTCGAAGTTGTAGATACGTTATATAGAGCCTGTCAGGAGAAGTGTATACAAAAACAGTTTAATTAAGCGAATAAAACCACAACAATGGCAATTCATGTACGCAAAGCGAAGTTTCGCTTTAAGTTTTCACTTCTTTTAAACAGAGAGATGTAACGTTTTTGCAGCTCTTCATTGCACACTCGTGATCTTCAATACGACTCCCCAACTCGTTTTGTACCCAACCTTTTTACAAAACTCTACCACGTGACCTTTAACCGAACATGGTTAGCCATTACGAGAGACAAAGAGTTTCTAAAAATTTTCTGTCTAAATCAGTCTAAAATCAGTGGAAAATGATCACCAAAATAAACTTTGTGTTGAAGTTTTTCAACAAATTTGACTTTCCTTCTTTCTAGATACTTTAGAAGTTTGAATGCACTCGAAACTTAAAACATTGAGGTAAAAAAACTAAAAAACTCAGGACGCCCTTGAAACCTCTACGGATACAAGCGTTTCTTTTTCTATAGCAGGTGCTCAGTGGTTCCTGAGAAAGCAAACTTACCTTAACTTTTCTCGGCCCATACCCCCCGAGACCTCTTGGTGTAATTGCCTCCACAATTCTGTTCAGACTATCTTCAATGCTACCCATGATGCCCTACAGAGTGGGAGACACCTGATAAGACTACAAAGATACCACAATGTCCCTATGGAGGTAGGTGAAACTTCTCGCGTGTCCTTAAATGTTCAAATAATGACAGGTTTATGGTACTGGCTTCGCAAGAAAAGTCTGTCTATTCTTCCTAACGCGAAACTATCGTTGTAGTTTGTTGTTCACCCAGGAGAAGAACCCGTTAATGTATCTTTATGGAAAACCAGTCGCACTTTTTTTTGTTCACTCGCTCCCTAAACAAATTCAGGTCACAACCACAGGTAAACACAGTTAAAAAAAGGTCGGACTTCAGCCAAAACAACTCGCGCCACACAACCACTGCAAGCAGTGGATAGTATCCCAATGCCTAGAACAAGATAAACAATTTGTTTACATGCAATCTCTCTACAAAACTTTTGTAGAAAATTACAAACCCTTGAACTCCATTTGCTTGTACTAGGTGTGTCCACTGAACCGAATCTCTTCCTTCCTATAGTGAATGGTGACTTAAATGGTGTTCGTCTGGACGTGGCTTTATCCAAGTTCGTGTCCAGAGATTGTGACCACCTATTTGCAAGGTAATTGATGTTTTCTATCAGTTTTCATTCATTTCACTTATACACCTGGCGATAGAAGTTGCGCCGGCTTCACGAAGAAATCTGATCTGCCCCTTTCCCCTCCAACAACTGCTGATAGGAAATTGTCTTTTGAAATACATGCAGACATCAAGCTTGAGAACTGTACTAAAAGTAAAGTCAGTGTAATATCAATCTTCTACCCTAACAAATTTCAACGATCTAGTTTCGATGAAAAGTGCTAAAATGCTACTGTAAAACAGTACCTTGAATAATGGACTTACATTTTCGACTGTGATATTGGTGTTAGGTCACTGTTACCAAAATCATAATCGGAGTGTGATATTGGTATATCTGCTGCAGCACCTATGAAATGACAAAAAAAAAAAACAAAAACCAATGTTAAACAAAACGACGCACAGAGTAATAAGGAAGATAAGCAAAAGCCTGAATTTTCTTATTTGTCTGCTATATCTTTCCTAAGATCGCGTAACTCACGCTGACTTAGAAAACACACATATTTACTGGAGATTTTGCCCTTCCGTGTTGTTATAAGGGAAGGGACCTTTTCAAGTCGGCTTTGTGAAAGTATGCATGCATGTAAGGAAACGTTATCTGACAGTTACGACTCGAAACTCAAGTTTTGAAAGAATCCTAACGCTTGACGCGCGACGACCTCCTTTCTTTGCGCAAGCCACTCATAATGTCTCCAGTAACACATTCTATGTACGTCTATTTTACATTTTTCACAAGACTCAAGTGCTTTCTCTAAAAGACATCGCAATACACTCACGTCTTTAACACCGTTCCATAACATTTAAAATTCGCTAGCAAAAGCGACACAAGGTTTTGCTTGTTTTGCGCGTTTGTATATTGATACACACAGTACCTCTTGCAGGTGTTTTCTTGACACGTGGAGTTATTGGAGCTAATGGCGGAGGCATCTCTTTGGCTCCTTTCTTGGTAGGTGTTGTGGGAACACTGGAAGGTAAAGTACCAGCTCTTGGCTTCCTTGTTGGAGGCTCCATGCAAGGTTCCGCCTTGATAACTTTGGACTTTCTGGCTTGATGCTCAGAGTAAGGTA